TTGGCTTCCTTATCTGGAAGTGGGGATCATAACAGTATCTGCTTTGTACAAAGATGGTCAGAACTGAATGAGATAACCTCTGTAAATTACGCAGCGTAGTGCCTGACACGTGGTTTCTGCCCAGTAAACAATGGCTGCTATTGTTGACGTCGCTGAAGGTGAGACTTCTTATCAGTCAGTTGGTTGAGTTATAAAACATTAATAAAAGAGCCCTGAGCAAAAATAAGACTGTAAAGTGGTCTAGTAGCTCTTAGGTGTTGCCTGCTCTTAAAACATGATGACCCCTGAGAATGGGACAGATGGACTCTTTGCTCATGAACGATAATACGCCTTGCTGTAATCTGGCATGTGTGAGACTGAGGCTAGAGTGCCACATGAAATGCCCCCATTTTTTTTAAAGTATAATCAAGTAAACTATAGCTGTTGTAGAAAAAGAAAACAATATACAAAAATTTTCAAAAAAATAGACACTAATCCAGGGAGAACTGCTTAAAATTTGATATACATCCTTGTAAATTTTTTTTTTCCACCGTGAATGGTTTGAAGTTAGAGTTTGCTTTGACAGCTTTTTAAGGTTTGTGTCCTAACTTTGACACTTGTGCATATAAATTACTTTTAGTTATTTCCAAAGCAGTATTTATTTATGACTTTAAAAGATCTAATTATTTGCTTTGAACTCCTATTTGGTTTGTACCTGGGTGTCAACAGGTACATACATATATTTTTAAACCTCAGCATGAATCCCAGATTGCAAGCTTAGTATTCTTGGTTGCTTTGCATTTTGGAAGACTTAAAGAGAGCTGTCCTCTGTCTTATCCTTCTCAGTATCCTGCCATTGCATTCAGTGGTCGCACACATTCAAGCCACAGGGGGAGAAAAAGCCCAGAGCCTCTTCTCGTTGTTCGCTTGCATGTGGTCTCTTTCTCTCTCCCTCCTTCCTTCCTCTTTACCTGTACCTCTTCCTCCACATCTGTCTGTCTCCCCTGTCGAACCCAAACCCCCGATGCCACTGGGTCTCTGTTCTGTGTTTCCCTGTATCTGTATTTGTCTATCTGTTGGGCTGCCTGATTATCTCTCCCATTTGCTGGAGCCATTCAAACTGCCCTCCTCATTCAGGGACATGAGAGTGTGCTTTGTCTGAGCTGGTGCCAGACCCTGGAGAGAGGAGTGCTTTGAAAACTCAACTTGGACTTCTCACCAAACCACACCGCAGTTATGCTTAGCATCTGGCCACCAGTTTGCCCACTTAATATAAGGTCCCTAACCCTACCCGTAACTTGCCCATTTCTCTTTTGATCTAGGAACAAACACTTTCTTTTTTTTCAAGTCCAGTTTAAAATCTTAGGAAAAATAAAGGCCCACAGTGAAAGGATGAGGAGAGTCCAACTCAGCTGTAATTAAATTTGTTTTTTCCTCTTTGCTTTCTCGCAGAGGGTAAGCCAGATACTGCCCTTTCCAGAGAGTAAGTTACCAGACCATGATGTGAAGGAACAGTTTAATTCAGCAGCATGACAAGGATTTGAGCTGGCCCTTTTCAGCCAGAATCTGTTACACGCATACTCATGCACACATCACACAAGTTGGTTTCAAGTTTTAAGTAAATGAAAGAAATTCACATGATAGATTGCCATTCTTAGCTTCTAAATAGCTTTTATTATTGAAGTAGAAAATACAATTTTTTTGAAGTGTCATCGATACATCAGCTGACTTCTAATGTTAGGAAACTTTGATGCTTGATTTTTCTAGTGCAAAATCCCATATCAGAGTTAATAGACTAGAAAAGAAGCGTTAGCTGAAGAAAATGGCAGCAATGGACTATGATGGGAATAGAGTATTAGAAGGAGAAGCTTGAAGTTACAGTCAGTTCTGCTGTAACACAGCATGCATTCCTAAGAAATTACTGTGCTGTGCAAAATTGTGTAATGCAATCCACATGAGGCGCATTGGGAAAATGGGGTTATGGGCACAACACTCAAAACTACTACTGATAAAAAGGATAGGAACCTAACAAAAATGGTAGCATAGTTTTACATCGATTAAATGGTTAAGAGTAGGTAAATACAAGAAAACACCCTGACATTTGCTTCTGAAAGTAGGTTTTGGAAAGGTTGCTGCTTGCAAGCTCTTGGGAAGTAGTGGACGGAAGGTTTTCTGAAATTGAGGGAAAGTTGTAGCACCGGTTGTGGGTGGGTGTGGCTCCTCACATCCAGGGCGGCCTGGGGTGGATGGTAGATGTTTGGGAAGAGGGGTGTGTTTTGTGTACGCCCACGTGGCTCCGTTCAGCCAGGTGTAATTTTTTGCATTGACGTAGTGCTTTTTGCAGATGAAATCTTGCAAAAGCAAGTGCAGTATTTCATTATGCTCAATTCATTCCTTAGTGTATCAATGACTTTAGAATAAATTTGCTTTCTCCAAATCAGCATAACTGTATTGAATTAGATTGAGAATGTTATTTACCTCATTTGGTTATCAAGATAAAATGTATCACATTTACTCTAAGACACATGCTAAGAATTCTAATCCCCAGAGAATAGTAAAAAGAGTGTGCTTCGTTAAAGTAAAAGTTGTAGTTGGGGTTTTTTTACCTCTTCCTAGCAGAAACATGGTATTATTCCTTTAGTACGCTTCCACCAGAAGTGTACAAGCTTGCTGTGGATGAACTTGGAGGAATATTTTAATATTTATTTTAAGATATATCAGAAAATATATATAACAAGCTTATCAAAACCTGTTTCGTAGATACTCTCGTTTGGAAAGATAGCTCTCAGTCGAAGGTGGTTCTGTGCTTCATACTGGGTGATGTAAAAATGGATTAGAAGGTAGTTTCAGGTTGCCCCCAGCAGAGGGACACTGCTGGTGATTAGGGATAGGGGGCAGGACTTCTAGTCATCCTGATATCCTGTACAAGAATTCTCCTGTCCAAAGTACCAGTGACGCCCCCCCAAGAGACCGGTTAATGCTGGCTGAGGAGGAGGAAGGAACAGTAGAGTTGGTCATTTAAATAAAAATGTCCAGTAAAAAGGAGTATTTTATGTGGCTTTGGTAAGAATGATGAAAACAGTTTGCAGCTGATGAAAGTCTGGAAAGCACTGCAGGTAGGAACTGTGAGCTTTACTTAACAGACCCTGATATAGAGTGCCAGGGCCCAGGCAGCGCTCTCAGTGCTCTACAAATGGTAACTTACTCAGCCATGTCTAATGGTTCTGGAGCATTAGCCTAGTATGAGGAAGGCTCTCAACCTTGACCGCACAGTGGAATCACACAGGGGTGCTTATCAAAGTCTGGATGCCCAGACCACACCCCAAACCAGTGAAATCAGAATCTAGGGGGCTGGGAATTAGCATTTTTTAAGCCCATTATGTTACACCAGTGTGTGGCCAAGGTTGAGAACCATTGGAGTGATTGGCAATCACTCCTCCTCACAAGAAAACTGTACCGATAGTTGAAAATGTTAATTGAAGGTCTGCTCTGTGCTGTGCCTCAGAGGGACAGAGATGACCCAGACAGGAAGCCTCGCCATCCAAGGGGAGGTGGCAGAACTGGAAACCGATTTTTACAGTCCTGGCTGACAAGTGCTGGTGCTTGGAAGGATCCTCAGACAGTGTTTGGGGATCACAGAGGAGAGAGAAACTAAATTAGAAGACGGGGTGGGGAGGGAACCTCTCAGATGCCAAATTTAGAAAATTAATAAACTTAAGTTATTTTAATTTTCCCTCCCATACACACAACTTTCATTAGAGGGGGGGAAAAAAGCACTTAAAAATCACTATCCAGTTAGCCATCCTAACTTGGTTGTAGCCTTGGTGTGTTGGACAACTGGAATCTTGTCTGTAGAGTAGGTTCTTAAGTACCATGTAAAGCACCATTGAACTAATGACCTTCTGGGAAATAAGTCATCTCAGTTTCCCAGAGAGCCTCAGGACTGTTATAAAATGACCTTTAAAAATAAACCATTTGTGTGATGCTTATAATCATTGATTCTAGTTTAAATTTTTAAAAAATATTCCTTTAGTTTCCATATTGTGATAAGTAAATGTTGGATCCCATACATTTTAAGTTAAGCCACGTGTCATTTTAAATTGCAAGTTTAATTGACGGCACTAAGCTACCATCATAAGGTAGTTAAGTAGATAAAAGTTACTAAATAATTCACTTGTTTCAGATAGTAGCGTTCTTCAACAGCTCTCGATTTATTTAGTATGGATTGCTTTACACAGAGAAAACCTGATTCTCCAGTGAGTAGACTTATTTTCAGTTAAACCTGTGTAGTCTGTATTTAACCATGAATTACTTCCTGGTTTAAAAAAACAGGCGTAGCTATTTGTGGTATTTTTGTCTTATGCCTTTGGCATCTTAGTGGTGTGAACCAGAGCTATGCCATCTGTACTCGAGTGAGATTATTAAAAAGAAAAGGGTGGGGGGGGAGTGAAGTGATTCACTGGAAAATTGCAGAACAGATTCTTAAAGAATGATAAGAGAACCCTAGAAACATTCTTATTTGCTGTCATATGCTAGTGGGTAGTGGAAAAAAAAATAAGGTACAACTTGTTTTTTAACATTTTGCAATTCTGAAAATTGGCAAGATGCTCTGCTAGCAAGGAAGAACGAGGGCCGTGAAGCGTCAGTTAGTACAGCTCTTCAGAAGAGTGAGTAACTTGCCTCTCCACCTGCAAGTTGGAGTGAGGTTCATTTTGAGCCTGAAAAACCAAATACTCTCAGGTTTAGAATGGCTATTTAATTTCCTAATGGCTATCTGTGTATGATAAACCGCTTTATGCTGAGATGTTTCCGAAGCAGAAGGACCAGTTCCTAGAATCCTAAATAAGTCTGTGGGGCCTAGACAAGCCATTTCTGAAAGCTGCTGAGTTAAATATATTTTCACTTAGTGACGCATATTTGAACCTAAATGTGTTGATTTCAGGGGACTCTTCCAGGATTCCATTGGAGACTTGCCTGAAACCGTGTCTTTCCCCCCCTCCCCTTCCTGTTTTCCTTTTCAGAAAGAAGACATAGCTCATCCAGCAAGCCTTCTTTGGCCGTTCCTCCCAGTTCAGTATTTTCCTTCTTCCCTTCTCTGTCCAAAAGCAAAGGCGGCAGTGGAAGTGGAAGCAGCCGTTCTTCCAGTGGAGGTGTTCTAAGCGCATCTTCATTAAGTTCCAAGTTGCTGAAATCACCCAAAGAGAAGTTCCAGCTCAGGGGGAACACCAGGCCAATGCATCCCATTCAGCAAAGTAGAGTCCCCCATGGTAGAATGTGAGTATGGCCAGGAGGGTCCTTGAAGCCTCCCTGCAGGAAGTGGAACTGTGTCCCCAGTAGCATCCAAGCGCCTTGTGAATAATGGGGAAGAGAGGCTGCTCGGGGGCAGGGAAGGAGGGGGAGCAAATAGATGTTTCGTTTTGTTTCCCTGTCCCGCTTTGGGTTAAGGTTAATACTTACTGATTCCTTATCGTGTGCCAGCTGTGGAAACTTGGCTGTCTTTGTGTCCTGTCATTTAATTATCACAACAACCCTATGAAGCAGGTCTTGGTGGTAGCCCCATTTTGCAGATAAGGAGAAGGAAACGTAATAAGGTCGAGGAGTGGTAGCCAAAGAGCACTCCAGTCAGACCAGCCCCCGGTTCACACGCCCCTCCTGTCACTTCCCTAACTGCAGGGCTTTGATCGAGGCACTGTTTCTCTCTCAGTGTGAGAATAGCCCGTGGTGCAGAGTTCCTGAGAGCAGTAGAATTAACATGGTAGCGCCAAGCACCTGTCGTAGTGTCTGGCCCACGGGAGACAGTAAATGAACGGACACTGGTGCTTCTTCTGCTGCCAATGATAACAGTAGGAATAAAAAGGTGAGGTGATTCCTAGATGCTGTTCCAGGATTTCCTGGAGCCTGCAGAGCAATAGGGAAACAACGCTTCCTCCCCCACAGTCTTGGGCTCTCATCACAGTAGCGGACTGGGAAGACTGGAAGAAGTTCTCACTTCCAGGCAAGGCTTTGGCATGTTTGCACAGTGGGTCTGGAGCCTGGCAGGGAGCAATGAGGGAGCAGCCCAATCGCTCCATAAAAACCTGTCTTGCCTCGTCATGGCAGCCCTCTGCCCTGGTGTGGGTGGCTTTTCCCTGGCCTGCCTCCCTTTTGGAGGGTATGACCCACATCTCAGTCCCCCGGTCTGATAACCTGGCTAATCGTAGGGCAGCATCTAGCACCTGCTGCTGCTCGAGGACCTTGCCAGCTGGGAGAGGCCGTGGCTTCTTGCAGCGTCTCTGCTGCTGTCGGCCTCTTCCAGGTACAGCTGTTTGGTGCTGTTTGTCCTGGTTGCTAAGCCCCCGGCCTCTGCTCATCTGTCAGAAGTACAAGTACAGCAGGCTTGGCTTTCATTCCCGGACCTGTCTGAAAGCCAAAGAAAATGCCAGTGCTATGTGTAAGTCACTCGCCAGCTTAACAGCTGTTTGAGCACTGACTTCACTGAGCAAAGTTTATAAAACCTCATCAATCCCAATTTCTTTATTTGGATGGAGCTGGGCTTTAGAGGGGGACCAGGCCAACTGTTAGCATTGTACTAACATTTGCCACCCAAATGAGAGCGTTTAAGATTCCCAGAAAACTCAGTTCTTTATCAGTGGCCCAGGTACTTGGTGCTCACCAGCTGTGTGCCAGACACTTAACTTCTGAGCTCTTGTCATAGAAACTTTTTTCAGAGACTGGAGAATTATCCCGTCAGTGACATATCACTTAACTAATTAAACATTGGTTTCCTTCATTGACGGGGGCAGAGAGCCTCTTCTCAGAGGTGTGGTTAGGCTCATTTGAATTCTTGTATGTCCCCACAGACATTTCTTGGACATATTCTCTAGTTCTAATTATTCTTTCCTCTGTTCACTCACTTTACTTGGTTTTGATGACTCCTTTCTTAAAAATGATAGTTCTCAAAAGATACTCTGTAAAGGTTTTGCAGATAGTCTCAGTCCTTCTAACCTTTTCATGTTCTGCTTCTTGGAGGAATTTAGTTGGGTGTCAGGTATAGGTCTCCCATAGCCTTGTGTGTCAGATTGTCCTGGATGACGAAAGACCAGGTAAATCCGATGGTCCACTGGACTTTTTTGCTTCAGCAGGAGGGCTTAGAGACTGAATCATCGTGAATCTTCCTGAGTTTTCTGGGTAGTCCCAACACATTTTCCAAAGTTTCCTTTGGGGGCCTAGCTCTGTGCAGCGCATGGGGGTAGTTGGAGACTCTGCCCTCTGCCTTCTAGCTCCCCACTTCCTTGGGGCCGCAAGGCCCGTGGGCTGATGCTCCGCTTCCCTCTCTGATAGCATGACGCCCTCTGTCAAAGTGGAAAAGATTCATCCGAAGATGGATAGCACACTACTGAAATCTGCGGTGGGGCCCACCTGTCCTGCTACTGTGAGTTCCTCAGTCAAGCCTGGCCTTAACTGCTCCTCAATACCAAAGCCAACCTTGCCTTCACCTGGACAGATTCTGAATGGCAAAGGGCTTCCTGCACCATCCACTCTGGAAAAGAAGTCTGAAGATAATTCCAATAACAGGAAATTTTTAAATAAGAGATTATCAGGTAACTTCATATTTTCTTGTCTCAGTGTTTCTGTGTCTATTAATTGGGCATTCGTGAGGGAACAAATGGGCTGCTGTCTACAAGTCCTCCCTTTAAGGCTGGTCAACTTCAGCTTTAGGAGAAGGTTCCTTAAGTAAGACATCTGACCTCTTCACTCTTGTCTGTAGGTACTGTAAAACTAGCTTTCTCGGGGTGTCTTTGCGAACGGAGAGGTGCGATAGTGCTGATTGGCACATTCTCTTTTCTGTCAAGTGATGACGGTAGACCCCCGCCCTCTTTGGGGTCTGCTGCTGCTTTATGGGGCTCACATGTTGTAGATTTTATTTATTGGTGATGTCATAGATTGTATTCAAGTTAAAAATGTGTCTGTTTTGAGATTTCTCCTTTTGTTTTCAAAATAAAGGAAGGAATGTTTGATGAGCCCTTGGTAATGTCTGTATGCTTTTGACAGAAAGAGAGTTTGACCCTGACATCCACTGTGGGGTCATCGACCTCGACACCAAGAAGCCCTGCACCCGGTCTTTGACATGCAAGGTAGGTGGCCTCCTAGATGGCACTGGAAACTCTCCAGTGAGCACAGGAGTTGGGGTCCATGGCATGGCCCCCGTAAGGCTCTTGCACCTGGAGGGGTGCTGATCTGTGGATTGTTCTGAATTTTGTAAACGAAGGGGTAACGGGGTTTCCATGAAGAATGCCTTCAGTTCGGAAAATGCAACATCTTCTGTGATAAGCTGCAGTCAAAAGAGGCGTTTTGCCCCTGGTGAGCTTCTAGTATCATATCCAGGGGAATACTGTTCTTTCCTAATCAGTCTGTTATTTTCAAAGACTGTTAGTATTTCTGCAGAGAAATTTAATGTTGAGAGACTACCCTTTACTGTGGTGTAAATTGTATGGGCTTAAAACAAGTCCAGGAATTTACTTTGCCTGTGTGTGAATATTCTTAAAATGCTTGTGTAATGTGTGGTTCCTAAATTTTAAAGAGCCACTTTCAAATCATCTGATTTTGAGATAGACTCATTTTTCCAGTTCTAAGAAAGTACTAGATAATATACAGTCTTACTTACTAAGCGAAGAAAATGTTATGATCCTCCTTTCTGCCCTGAGTTTTCCTTTCAAATGCCGATATGCTAATAAGAAGGTGGTGTATTTGCTGTATAGTCGGAGTTGCTGTGGAGTGGTGTCAGGGGACACCCCGCATAAATGAGCAGATGTGCTTGTGTGCTTTTCTCTGGAGAATGTCTCCAGCTACTCTTCAGAGAGGTTCAAAAACTATCACAGGTCATTGCTCTAAAGTAATTTAAAAACACTTGTTTGGAGAAGGGGGTAAGAATTACAAAAATTAGTGTTGTCTTCTAAAAAATTGAATAAAATTTTTGGTGTATTATTTTAAATTTTACCAAAGATTATGTTTGAATAAGGGACTTCAGGTCCTACTCTACCCCCTAACAGTGGAGGAATGTTAAAATCCTTCAGAAGGTGTAAATGTTGTTTCTAAGTGGTTCTTATTTTAGTTTAAATTTCTAATTTAATTTTGCATGTAGATTTTATTTTGCAACAGTGGTTCTGAAGCTTTTACGGAAAGGCGTTGACCAGAGCCCCTTTAAGTATCTAACTTAAAAAAAAAAAAAAATCACAGATCATTTTCCCTGAGGAAAATGATATATATATACGTATATATATACATATATATATGTATATATATACGTATATATATACATATATATATACATATATATATATACATATATATATATATATTCTGAATTTTGCATTCTGTCTCAGGGTTCACACATATCTTCACCCCAAGCCCCAACCCTTAAATCTCTAGGCTAAAAACTCCTTTCTCAGGACAAACTGCTTTTATTTTATGTAACATTAGTTGAACACAGAGCACAGTGTGTTGTTGGAAGTTAGCCCCTCGAGCTCTGAAGAGCTATGGCCTGCTGCAGCAGCCGCAGAGGAGTTTGTAAGCGCAAGCCTCGCCCGGGTACCCCGACCTGGTCCCGACCAGCCGACTGCTCTCAACTCTCTTGCCACCTCCCTGGCTCTCGAGACCCCAGATCTCTCAGTATTAGGGTGCCCGTGGTTGATGAAGAATGCTTGCCTTATCCCAGAGGCTTGGCCTTTAATCATCTCTGGGCATGCCAGTGGACCAAAAGCTTTATCAAGTCAGAATGTGCAGGACTGACCAGCCTTCTCCCTGAGTCTTTATTGACGGTGAACAGACTTCATACGGGTTCTGCATTGTCGTCTCATCTTTCTAAGTCATGTGTGCTTTTCATGTGTTCTATGAAGGGTGGCATCCGCAGAGCCCGGTGTGGGGCCTGCCTTCATGTTCGTATGCATCTGTAGCCCTGGCCTGTCCGAGGTCATCAGAGAAGTGGCAGGTCTGCCCTTTCACACGTGGCCCTTCCTCTCCTGCCTCTGTTTGCCACTGCTTCTCCCTCTTCCTGTCGCCGTTTTGGCCTGCATCTCTTAAGCTGTGGAGGGCTGCCCATGCCCCGCGCTTAAGGGCCTCCCTGCTGAATGTCTCCCATGTTGCTGCCTGGGTCTGTCCTGCCTCAGACCGAGAACGTAGTCCTTCCTCTTCGGTGTCTGGGGACCTGCTGCTGCCCACTCTGTCGCTCGTCCACTCTGTATGCCTGCCACCCTCTCAGTCCCCTCCTCACTTCCTTGTCTGTCTGATATCCTGTTTCATGTCCTCTCTGTCTTCCATGAAAATAAAATTTGGCTCTGGTTTCCTTGCCCCTTCGGTCATTGTGGAAAATTTATTGCATATATCTGAGCACAGGCCCCATTCTGGGACTCAGTAGATACAGGCTTTAACAGAATCAAGGCACAGCCCCTAGCCTTGAGGGACTTACAGTCTTACGAATGAGAGGTAGGTTAGCTTCATAATAATTCATGTATGTGTGAAGTTACCCCTGATGAGCAATAGGAAGGAAGCTTATGTGTTATGACAGCCTTCAGTAGGGGATTGAGCCAGGGAGTCTCAGGCCTCCTTTGCCATAGGAATATGGGCTGAAACCCACATGATTTAACTGGGCACAGAGGGGTGGGAGAAGCCAAGGAAGCAGCATGTGTAAATATTCCATGATGGGGCAGAATAGACCTGGTCGGGTCTGAGCCCACCTGAAGAGCAGGAGCAGGAGGAGGCACTTGGTTACCAAAGGGGTGGGGTGGGGGGCAGGAGCCTAGTTACGTACCCAGTCTTTGTCCTGTGATTCTTGGGTAGCCCTCAAGGATTCTGATGGGGAGGGAGCTCCATAGGAATCCTGGTTATTGTTCAAATCAAGCGAGGGAAATATTGGTCATCTTATGATGACCGATCATACGATCATAAGGTCATAAGATGACCGATATTTCCCTAGCTTGACTTAATTTGGTCTTGCTGTGCTAAGCACCAGAGACATTCAAAGGAGAAGAATGGCTTCTACATCTGTCTAGAGAGACGGGCGACTGGATGAGTGATAGATATTCATTGATTCATTGATTCATTCAACACCAAGTAGAGGGCCATAATTTTTACATACTTTATTTGAAGCATTTCCTGAGTGACAGGTGCAGTATTAGGTAGCTAGAACATAACAAAGTTCCTTCTCTTCATTTCGGTTACTTTCCTCTGGATATATTACATAGTAAAGGAAATTAAGTAAAACTTGGAAAAGAAGCTAAATCCACTTGTGTACCCATCTATGCCAGCTTCAGTGTGGGTCAGGCATAGTTTGCAGTAGGTCTGTAAGGAGATAGGTCGTTAGCTGAAGTTCAGAAGGACAGTAAAAGCCTAATTCCCCTTCAAGCCCTTAAATTATATCAAACCTCTAAGCTTCTGGAGCAGTAATACATTTGTATAATGTGTAAGGCCATAAACACACACAAAATACTTTTGTGTTACTTTTGTAACATGGAAGAATGGAGGAAGCCTGTAGATGAATTAACTTATATTTGCAGCACATGATTTGTGGCCACTGTCTCCTTAAACATTTTTTACAGACTAGGACTCCGCAATAGGCAATAGTTAACTAGACTTTATCTTCTTCTAGGAATAGTATTAGCCTCAAGTTAGCCTTCGAAAACAAACAAACAGGAATTATCAAACGCATCTGGAGCATAGACATTTTTTATTATAAGATACGCCTCAGGCACGGGTTGTTGTTAGTTACCCTGCCGGGATTGACCTCCTTTTTCTTAATGTGCCCATTTCCTAATTCTGAAATAGATGTTGTCTTAAGATCCAGAAATGCTGTCTGTCCCATTTTCTTGATCTACGTAGTGAGTGTCTGTTTGTAGGAATTGACTCTGCTTCATCTCTTCCAGCTCACACTTTCTCCTCTCGGCCTTATAGTCTTTGCTTCTCTCCAGGCTTCCTCTTCCAAAGCAGTCCCCACCTCCAGGATGCTTTGAGCCACTTTCACTCTTGACATGGCATTTTCACTGGAAGAGAGAAATACTTGTCTAATTTTTACTCTCCAGCTGTTACTGAAAAAGGAGTCTCTGGTACATTGTTTTAAAGTAAGCTCTGTGCCCAATATGGGGCTTGAACTCACGACCCCAAGATCATGAGTCATGTGCTCTACTGACCGAGCCTGCCAGGCACCCCTCTGGGACATGTTTATGGCATACGTATTTATTCCCTTTTAGTATTTAAAATCTGAATGACCCAAAGAGGGATTTTTCTGTTTGAGCTTGTAAGAGCCCCGATAAATAAACTGTTACAATGACACGGAGCATGAGTACCTAACACCTGTTTGTTTCTACTGTTTGCCATTCACTTACATACCAGGTGGCACAGCTAACATTCCTTCTTTCTCCTGGTGGAAGCAACATCACCACATTCTCATGTATTTGGAGCCTGGGATATGTGCTTCTATTCTAGCAAAAGAAAAAAGGTCACACTCCTATGATTTTTAGCTTATCAAATGGTGAGCAGTCTTTAACTGTGCTAATGGTCCAGATTGTTGTTGGTGGTTTTTAATTGGGAATGGCGTTTTTGGATATATGACGAAGAAATAATTATTGATGAGATTCCTCAGTTCCTGTATTTTTTTGGTCTATAGACACATTCCTTAACTCAGCGGAGGGCTGTCCAGGGTAGAAGAAAACGATTTGATGTGTTACTAGCCGAGCACAAAAACAAAACCAGGGAAAAGGAATCGATTCGCCATCCGGACTCTCAACAACCAACGCAGCCTCTCAGGGACCCGCAGCCCACCCCTCCCAGACCTTCCCAGGAGCCACACCAAAACTCTCACGGAGTGATTCCTTCTGAATCAAAGCCTTTCGTAGCTAGTAAACCTAAACCTCACACCCCCAGTCTTCCAAGGTAAGCCAAATCCTCCAGTTCTCTCCCTTTTCCAGAGAACAGACTTGCAGACTCTAAAACCCCCGTGTAGTCATGATGTTGAGGAGTGTACGTCACACTCACTCTAAGAAGATGAGAGATTTTTCTAATTGGGTTTTAATTTAAGGAAAAAAAGTTGTTGAGTTCATCAGTCAGTTTCAACCAGGGCTCTTCTTGGCCAAATGCAAGCAGCAAAAAGAAGCCAGAATGATCTCCTCCACCCCTGCTCAGCTTCTGGGGTCTCTTAACCCCACTGAGCGGGCTGAGACTTGGGTCCTGACTGCAGGTTAGTGCCTGGAACATCTCACACGGCTTTGGCAACGTTTTCCCATTCACTTGTCTCAGTTCTTGCAAAACACAGCAGTGGGAGTCCTTGCTGGGGATGGGCATTCAGCCTGAGTTTTTACAGCATCCATTTATCAGCCTGTTTTTTCATTCATTCATTCGAGACCTGGGCCTAACCACATACTAGGCATTTGAGCTGTTTTGTAAGCGATGGATCTCAGAGTGTTTTATGAGAACTTAATGCACATTCCTCGGAGACAGTGAAGGTGTACTTGAATATATGTGTCTTTGTGCTTGTATATTTAACCAAGTTGAAGTAAAGGACTTTGTCCCCAATTTCTAGAGGGAAGGGAAAGAGAAAGGCACAGAGAATGAGGGCCTTCCTTGCCAGCCATGGGCACCAAGGGCTTCTGCTTAGGGACATGCCAGCCTCTGGTCACTGTGCCCAACCTTTCCCCCTCATGTGCCTGTTCCTTAACATGGTCACGTGACGGGTAGAAGTGGCTGCCCATGGAGACCCACGTGTGTAGTTGAGCTGCTCCAACACGGGCCCTCTGGTCTGTGAGAAGCATGGCGGGGAAGCCGTCAGAGACGGCGCCCCAGAACGTGGCCAAGCCCAGGCTGTCCGTTCCTTGGCAAGTCCTTTCTTTGGCCATCTTCTCATTGAAATTTTTCCATCTGTAAAAAAGTAAACTTAGTTCTAGAAGCACCAGGCATTCATACATGTAGGAAGCCTATAGTACCGCCCGAGTGGTAGGCTGTCCACTGTCCACAGCGGGTGGTCATGCTGCCTCCTCCTTTGAGCACCTCTGGTCCCTCTCAGGCTTAGAGCACATTGCCATTTATCTCATTTATTGCCTCAGTAACCCAAGTCTAGGTGAAATTTGAAGAGGAATCAAAGACTTCTCTTAAGTTCCACTTCTATTTCCTCTTCTTTGGGGAAACTAGGAAGAGGCCCTGAGCCACTCGATCGCTATAGAAAGGAGAACCATTTGCAAGTTACCTCTGGGTAGAACTGACAGACAGCTCCCTGTGACATCGTGCGGTTCAGGAGAGTGGACTCTTCCCTCCCCGGCCACCTGATCAGCATCTGTTGCCCCAGTGCTAGTGGGGGACCCCAGGCCTCCCTAGGTGGTCTCAGACACGTTGTTGTATCTGGGTTAAGGCGGCTGATTCCCAGATGTGTGATCTGATCAGTGCTGCACTTTCTACTCACCAAGGCCTCCAGGCTGCCCTGCTCAGCAAGGTGGGAGTGCCCCCATTGACCCTCCTCCAGTCCATGAATCTCCACACCCTCCCCTGCCTGCCACTGAGCCAGCTTCTCGGTTATCCAGTGAGGAGGGAGAAGGCGATGACAAAGAAGAGTCTGTTGACAAACTGGACTGTCATTATTCAGGTCATCATCCTCAGCCAGCATCTGTAAGTTCCACATGCACCCCCGTGTTGACCCTCCCCACGCAGCAGGGACAGGGCACTGCAGGGGGGCGTGCCAGGGGCCTTGGCATGCCCGTTCGTGTGGGAGACATGGTCAAGGTGTGAGAGCAGCTCAGAACAGGGCGCCCCAGAGGCGGCATGCACTCTCTCCTGGGACACCTTGTGCTTCTCCCTGTCTCTTCCATGAAACTCAGGGCTAGGCATCTTCACTCTCATGCTTCACAGCCTGCGGTACTCAGAGTAAGCTCTTTCATGGTTAGCTCCTTTCCTGAAGGCGAGAGAGCCCTCACCTCCTGGGCTGCTGGCAGAGTTAGCAAGCACGCGCGGTTGTGCTCTCTCTTGCAGTTTTGCACATTCGGGAGCCGACAGATTGGAAGAGGCTATTACGTCTTTGACTCCAGGTGGAACCGGCTTCGCTGCGCCCTCAACCTCATGGTGGAGAAGCATCTGAACGCGCAGCTGTGGAAGTGAGTGCCTGTCCTGCCACTCCAGGGGTGCGGAGAGGGGCCGACTTTACCCGGTGCTGCATCCTCTCCTTCTTATGGGACTGATTTAGTAATGATGATGGTGATGATGATTTAATAAGCTTATCTAAAGATTTATTTATTTTAGAGTGAGCTAATGGGGAGGGGCAGAGGGGACGAGTGAGAGAGAGAATCTCAGGCAGACTCTCCACTGTGCATGGAGCCCAATGCAGGGCTCCACAACCCTGAGACCATGACCTGAGCGAAATCAAGAGTCTGGCGCTCTACTGACTGAGCCACCTGGGCACCGCAAGGTAAACTTATTTAAAATGAAAACACGGCCTCTGACTGTCCCTGAGAAGGCCCCTCATCATTCATTCATTCATTTACTCTGAGCAGATGGGTCTTGCTCTGGGTGCTGTGGTTCCAGGCAGAGGGACTCCCACATGTTGGGGGAAACACAAAAACCACTAAACAGAAAATCAGTAGAGGTTGTAGCTTGTCAGAAGGGAGATCCTGGAAGCACCAAAAATCACTGGCACTTACTGAGAGCTTATTGTATTCCAGACAACTTAGATTTAATTTTCACGGTATGCCATCTTGGGACACCTTGATTATCATTCTTTTACAGATAATGAAACCAAGAAGCAAGGTCACACAGCGAGTTGGTGGTAGGGCATCCAGGATTTGGATCCAGAGGCAGTTTGGTTCCAAACAAGGAGCTGAGATGGGAAAACAAGAAGCCGGAGGGATTCAGGGAAAGCCTTGCTGAAGAGGCGATCCTTGAACTGAGATGGATCGATGAGAAAGAGCAGCCCATGGGATGGTGGGATAGAGTGGGCTATGGGCAGAAAGAGCCGTATGTGTCAAGGTCTTGAGTCAGAAAAGATCATGGCCTGTTTGAGAAAAAGCAAGAAAGCAGGCATGCTACAAGATGAAACTCAAGAAGCTGGCAGGGGCCAGATGACTGTGAAATTGATTCTGAGTGCAGTAGGGTGCTGCTGAAGGTTTCAGGAAGAGGAGCCATGTGCTCTGATTTACAGCTTGAGATAAGATGGTCATCTTGTATGCCATGATGTGTGCTAGTGTTTCCTACATGGGATTAAGTGGAAGAAGAGTTTCATGGCCAAAAGGCTCAGCTTTTTCTGAAGTGAAATAGTTTTCATTATTGCAGGACTTCTCAGAGCCTTTGTAACTCTCAAAGCAGGGAATATCATGTATAATGTAGAACATCTCCCAAGTTCTTTTGACTTGGGCACCTCTTTTAGGGGAGAATCTTACGGAACTAATGTTTGGTGGACTCTACTTTGGGAAACCTTGAATTTTGCTAAAGGAAGGGAGCTGTCCAGTTGCCCACATGTCACTCCATATTCTCCATTTGAGCATCATTTACTAGAGCCTTCTTGAGAGGACTTTGCCAGTACATCCATTTGCCTTGCTGCCTTGGTTCCCTCAGAAAGTCAGAGGAAGCTGGTCAGAGGCCTCAGATAGTCCACAGTCTGAACTAGCTTCATGATCATTAATAGGACTTGCATTTATTCTCTTAGAAAATCAGATCCAGAGCAGTGCTGCTCTGTTTTTCTAGTTCACATTTCTTCCTGGTTTTTACTAGATAAGAGGCTCCTTTTCCCTCTTTATGAAGGAACTTTGTCCTTGCCGAGAAAAATGAGTCAGGGCACTGGTTTGTTGGGATTCTGGGGGTCTCTCCACATCAGGAAACCCCCAGATAGGTGAAATCTCAGCTGCTTATTTCTGCAGACCACCTGTTAGGACTTGAAGAGCTCATTGAGCTCCCCAAGGTATGGGTTTAGTATACTACCAAGAGTTTCAAAGGGTCCTCAGAAAGACTTACTTCCATTAGACTGATAAGTGGTTGATGGCCAGCAGTTGGGGTGAATATGGTTTCGGGTCATAGTGGCTTGTGGGGGGAGGTTTTTGTCTTTGTGCCGTGACCTCTTGAAGATGTAGAATCATGAGGTTGTCTCCACTGTCTCTCTGTTTTTTCTGTCAGAGACTGACGGCCTTATCATTCACTTGATCCCCAGCAAGGAGGACATCATGGCTTTCCATTAACGTGAACTTTGGTTTTAGAAAAGCCAGTACAGCTGAGACGTTTTGCTCAGTGATGAGGTGGCACACAGGCCTGGGGCAGATAGGAGCTTGGAGAGAGGTGCTGGGCAGTAAGGCTGGCCAGTGCACGCGAGCTTCTCAGGCAGCTCCTGAAATTTGCCGCAAGGAGTTCAGCACTTCTCAGCTCAAGAACGGTCCTCAGGTGGCATCTTTGACTTACTCAAGGAAACTCCCAGAGTGGCTCAGCCAAAAGTCCTCCCTTCCAGGAGGTCCCCTACTTTCAGTGGCAGCCTTCTCAGTCCCTTTAGTTACCTGTTACGGTTAATTTGGGGATAAGTGAAAATGGGATTTGAGTATGGCCGTGAAATAAGTCATCTTTAGTGTCTGGAGTCTGAACACTGGTGAAATTAGACTAGCACTTCCTCTGGAGCATGGCCATGACCCCAAAGGCCAGTTTTGAGCTCCTGTGATTTTCTTTCAGCTGCCTGTCCACTGTTGGTTGAGGACCGCTATTCCACACATCCTAAATCCTAAGGAAGGGATAGGATTTTTCTTTGGCGGTGGGGGTAGGGGAGGGGGAGGGTAGAGTGGGAGACAGTGGTACTTAGTTTTCTAGATTGCTAATAAATACACTGGGGTTAAAAAAAAAAAAAAGAATAATGAATGTAAAGAGGTATACAGTTCAGAGTTTTAGTCCCCCCGACCCCTACATTCCTATTTCCCACCCACCCCCCAGACAGGAGCATTTTTATTAATTGCTTGTATATTTTTACAGAATTCACTTACTTATACAGACATAGGTCTGTACGACTGCATAATCTCTCTTTGTCATGTTTTTATACAAAAGGTAATGAATGACTTAAAAGAGTTTGTGTGTGTGTGTGTATGTTTTTGTTTGTTTGTTTTTGTTGTGTTTTTGTTTTTGTTTTTGCTTTTTTCACCAGGAACCAGTATCTTGTGCAGAGAGATCCACATCTCTCCCAGTCTGGAAGCTTTTCCTTTTCCCAGGATTTAGTTCCAGCAGCCTGGTCTTAAGGCTTCATCTTCCCCAAGCCACCTGGTGGCCGCGAGGAGCCACTGCACGCCATGAGTGGGGGCGGTGCTGTACCCACACATTCAGAGCAGGGCTTCTCAGACGTGCCAGTGCCCTCAGATTGCCTGGGGGTCTTGTTGAGATGCAGATTCTGATGAAGTAGGTGTGGGTGAGGTGCAGGGACTCCTCATTTCTCATAAGCCTTTCAGATGGCATCCGTATTTGCCCTCTGTAAGAAGCATGGCAATAGAGCCCCGCTTCTCAGTTTGTGCTTCATTTTGGAATCCCTCAGAGATTGAGAAACTTCCCATGTCTGGACCCTGCCCCACAGGGATCTTGGTGTGGTCGGTCTGGATGCAGGGTGGGACCAGAACGACACTCCTGAATGGGGCGGTTACAGCTGGTACGCAGTCAATAGTTGCTTTTATTAATAGCTGTAGGTCTCACAGAGCATCCGGTAAGCTCTTCGGCGGCAGTCGGGACCCCACTCACCTGTAAGATGAGGAGCTGGCGCCCCGCTGGCCTGGACCTCCTAGAGCCTCCCCATAAAGTCAAGAGCAGTCCCGTCTCGACACTTGCTTTTCATTCAGGCCATTTTCTGTGTCGTCGCCTGGGTGTTAATTCTGCCGTAGGGGTTTTTGAAATTCTGATGCTGGCATATTTTAAAATCAGAGCAAAACCAAAAGGGGACCTCCCTGGTTTGCCATTTGAATGACACTCTCATCTTCAGACAGACACCTAACCCAGACATTATTGACGGAATACTTTGTTCCAGCACTGTGATTGGGAACCCCCAGAGATGTGATTCGAGCCATAGGTAGGACCTAGCAGTTGCTATGAAATCACTGTGGCCTTCCTTTTTCCTCATTTGTTCGTGAATTCCCTCAATATCTGCATGCCTCCAGTATTCATAGCACCGTGCTGGGCACTGCAGTACAGTTACAAATACGCCGTGGACTGTTCTGTCTGTAGGGAAGTTAGCCCATGATCATCAGTCACTTGGGGAACTGCCTTGAATGCTCCCAAGTCTGGGGACGGGCAGTGTGAGTCACTGGAGAACCAAGCAAGTCAAGATGGTCAGGACAGATTTTCTAAGAAAATGACAATGGTCTGAAACTGAGGGGTGAGCAGAGTATGGGGTCAGAGCATTGTAGGTGGAAGATGGACAGTGCCTCGTGTCCAGGCCTGTTCTGAGATGTAAGAAAGGTCAGTAGGTGGAATCTGGGAATGGGGTGGAGGGGTGGATGGGAGGAGGCAGTGTGGGGCTTGGGACCTGCAAGGAGTGAGGCACACGTGCTTTACAGACCGTTATTCTGAGAGCCCGAGGAAGGCATGAAGGAATTTGAAGGAGCGGAGTGGCAGGAAGGATGGGCTGTGCATTTCAGATGGATCCCTCTGACAGGTGTGTGCTGCTCAGTGCCAGAGGTAAAGGGCACTTCCGTCTCCAAGTTTCTGTGAATGGCTGTGGTGATTCTTACTGTCGTCTCTCTTCTTCGCAGGAAAATCCCACCGGTGCCCAGCACCGCACCCCCCATCTCTACACGTGTTCCTCATCGGACAAACTCTGTGCCGACGTCACAGTGTGGGGTCAGCTATCTGGCAGCAGCCACTGTGTCATCTTCCCCCGTCCTGCTCTCGTCCACCTGCATCTCCCCGAACAGCAAATCGGTACCAGCTCATGGCACCACGCTAAATGCGCAGCCCGCCGCCTCTGGGGCAATGGATCCCGTGTGCAGTATGCAACCCAGACAAGTGTCCTCTTCCTCCTCGTCCCCCTCCACGCCCTCAAGCCTGTCCTCGGTGCCCTCGTCCCCTATGTCCAGGAAACCTCAGAAGTTGAAATCCAGCAAGTCTTTAAGGCCCAAGGAGCCTTCTGGTAACAGCACTAACTGTCACAACGCCAGTAGCAGTACCAGCGGTGGCTCAGGAAAGAAACGCAAAAACAGTTCCCCACTGTTAGTTCACTCTGCCTCCTCCTCCTCCTCCTCTTCTTCTCATTCCATGGAGTCTTTTCGGAAAAACTGTGTGGCGCACTCTGGGACTCCCTACCCCTCCACGGTAACGTCTTCCCACGGCGTGGGCCTCAACTGTGTGGTAAATAAGGCGAACTCGGTGAGTGTCCGGCACGAGCAGTCAGGGAGGGGCCCCCCGGGGGGGAGCCCTGCCGAATCCATCAAGAGGATGAGTGTGATGGTGAACAGCGGTGACTCCACGCTTTCTCTCGGCCCATTCATTCACCAGTCCAGCGAGCTGCCCGTCAACTCCCACGGCGGCTACGCACACTCTCACACTCCTCTCGAGAGACTGATCGGAAAGAAAAGAAAGTGCTCGCCCGGCTCCAGCAGCGTCAACAACAGCAGCAGCAAACCCACAAAGGTTGCCAAATTGCCAGCCATGAACAACGTCTACATGAAACACGCGGGCACCAGCCCAGGGGCACAAGGACTGACGAACAGTTCCCTCCTTCATCAGGTAGGAAATGGACTGTGAGCCCTGTGGGGGTGCCCATTTCCTCTCCCTCGAGCTCTTTGGCCGGCTCAGAGATCGGTGTGGTAGGGTTGGTTGCTTTGCCTGTAAACCGTGTCCAGCATCATGGTCTCTCTTCAGAGGAAGAGTTCATGGCCATGTGAAGGTAAAACAGAGTTTCTCTGCCAGGATTTCCTAAGACTCGGAAGATGCTCCCGGGTAAGGAAACCACGAAGCGCATTTTATTTTAGCAGCTAGGGTTGCAGAAGCCATCCCGCGTGATATGATGGCAGCAGACCCAGCACAGCTCGTGGGTGCCCGGCCCGGGGAGCGCATGTCTAGGGCACCGTTCAGGGAGGACGCAGGCCGTGATCTCCTAGAGACTGGTTCTCTCGCTTGCTCCTCTGAAGAAAGCTGGCCTGCAAACCCCCTAATCTAGAAAGGGATGGGTTAAATTTTTGAAAGAAAGACCTTTTAATAATCTTCTTATCAAAGGACTTCAGATTTTCCAGTTAACTCTCACCTTCTCTCTTCTCCCGGTTTCCCATGGAGGCAGGGAAGCGGCAGTAAGTGTGGGCAGAGCTGAAGACTAAAATCTCATTTAAGTGAAGAGATGAGAAGGCAGTGCGAATGCAGGCCCATTTGTAGAGCAGTGCCCAGCTGGGTGTCAGATTCATAATGACCCGTGACTGCACCTTGCGCTCTTTGCTCCCCACTCCTCCCCCAGTCCCCGTCCTCCCCTCACCCTCTTCTCCTAGAGCCGCCGCCTCTAGCTTCCGTTGCTCTAAGTGTCCATCCACCTCTCATCCTGTCACTCATCAGCGTGTCTCCTCTCCTTGCCTGCACATGGGGCTGTCCACAGCGCCCCCAGAGCCCTGGGGTACAGTGCGAGGTCCTTCTGTCCTGTCCTGCTGTCTTCCTCCTCTGCAGAACGTCACTCAGTGGGCAGGTTGGGGCTTCCGCAGGACATACCAGGACGTTTCCTGTGGCGGTAGCGCGCCCTCCACTGCCTGTGTGCATGAATGCCCACTGCCAAAGGTGCGGGCAAAGAACTACCCAAGAATTGAAGGAGCAGCTGTTTAAATTCTTCTCTTTGAGCCTCGAGTCTCTAGGGGCTGTTTGTGTGTTGCGTGGCTCTTTGAACAAGGGGTCCCTGGACGTGTGAAAATGGGCTTTTACCATTTGGTTCGTAGTTATTCATTAGCGTTTATCAGCATAAAAGTACGGTGCAAATACTGCAGAAAGTGGTACAGCCAGCCATCCTTGAAAAACTTCCTTCTGAGTGTAGTTTCCTGATTCTCTGTGAACCTAGGGGAGGGATCTTCCCTTGTGTTGCGATGCCCCACGTGTTCTTTGACTGCGTGCGCCTGGCTTCCCATAGATGGCACTGCCAGCCCTTGGTGCCCACAAATCACAGAAAGGAGGGGAGGAGGCTGGCGGGCGCAGCAGAGGTGAACAGTGCTTTTGGAAAATGAGGGAATGGGAGCCCATCTGCACAAAGCAGGTGCTCGCAGAAACTTGTCACCCATTTCAAAGAAACTGCAGATCTGGACTCAGCATGAGAAAGTTTGGCCGTGTTTAGAAGTTATGTAGTGTGTTGTTTTGAAATCTAATACAGCCCACATATCTGCTGACCAAGTATGGCTCATGAGCTGCCCGTTTACCGCTTCTGGGGAGGTCCCACTAGGACAAACAGTCTGAGTTTGGGTTCTTAAATTTAGTTTCAACCTAAGTATGTATTTGGGAAAGATTTCCCCTGTGCAGTAGAAAACTTTTTTTTAATTGTGCTGCACAAATCTGGGGGTGGGGGATGGCTAGAGATTGGAGGATCAGTGAATCCCCAAAAAAGTGTTAGATATTTTCAGTGTCTGTGCTCATTTATCTGCCGGAGGGATCCTATAGCTTTCATCAGAATCTCAAAGGTATCCATGACTCCCAAATGCTGTAGAGAACGGTGCCCTTAGAAGAGTAGGGGTCTTACCTCCCTGTATCTTGTAGAGCTGCTTTTAAGATTTAATTAATTTATATTTTAGGGGTAAGGTGGGGCAGAGGGAGAGACAGAATCTCAAGCAGACTCCGTGCTGAGGGTTGAGCCCAACAGAGGACTTGATCCCATGACCCTGAGGTCACCACCTGAGCCAAAACCAAGAGTCAGACGCTTCACCAACTGCACTACCTGGGTGCCCCTTGCGGAGAAAGCTGAGCTGGTTGAAGACCCCTAAACAAGGGAATGGGTGTGGTGGGCCGTACTGGGAAGCCTGGGGGCTTGGCAGCTTCCCCCAGCCAGCCCCCAGTCTGCTTGTGGCCTCTACCGCCCAGGACTTCGGTAGCTCACTGTGGATCATTGAGGGCCCGAGTTTCCCCCACCCCAGGCGTGGGCACTTGGGTGTGAGTTCTTATACCGGCGTGGAGGCCTTGTTCAGTTCTCAGCTGACAACCTGGAAGACCTTCAAGGAAATGAAATCAGTAAATAAAACCAGAAGGCAAACATGAGAGCCTTTTCTCTAAGCTAGAAACCTGGCCTGCCTCTCTTCTAGACAGTTTTCTAAAAGTCGGTCTTTTAGAGTGATTGTGCCCAAGTGGCTAAGGCCACACTGTTTAGCTGAGTGCTCCCGGTGTCCCCCAGTCACCAGAGAGAGCCGAGCGGCGCGTGGCCTTCGGGATGCTCTGTTGGGCGGCAGGGCGGGGCCGCGCACACCTGCTTACTTACCTTTTCATTGTTTCCCTACCCCCTCTTTTTTGAAAGCCAAAGGCACGTCCCTGACAGCTGAAAATAGCGCGGGGAGGAATAATCTGGACACTTTTGATGACAAGTTACACCTCCACTCAGCACTATGGACTCCACGATGCCTTTGAGTCTGTTTTCCCAACCTCCCGTGGGCCTCGAGGGTAGAATCTGCCGGGCTGTTGTTGTAACAAGGATCCCCTGAAGCTCTGTCTGTAGCAGTGAGTACTTGTAAAGGACACTGGATCAAGTTCGGCCACCGAGTTGCTTCTGTCAGTGTTAAAGTGGCCTGGACTGCTTGCTACCGATCTGTGAGAAGCTGTTGCTTTGTTTTTTAACTTGCAGTAAATCATGGAGCCACTCTTTGAGTAGATTGGCTGGGCGAAAGAATGTCTTGGCAAGAGCATTACTGTAGACTTTTCTCCCTTCTTCCCCCTTCCTGTCCCAGTTCTTTTTTTTACACTGTCTTCTGTACGTCACCCTCCAGCAGTTAGGTGCCCTGTCTGGAGACACGTTCCAGAGGAGAGCAGAGCTGCGCCCTGAGCAACCCTCCAGAGAAGGGATGTGCTGTTAGGTTTTTATAGCAATGTTCTGGGCGTGGAATATGGACGTGCGCGCAAGGCACCGTGACAAAATAGCCTGTGTTTCCCCCAGCCTTTTGCAAGTAATTTGGAGTAAGAAGCTGTCAAAGGTTTCTAACTTACAAACTGGTTTAAAGCCATCGACGCCCAGAGAGCAAGTATACCACATTTTAGAGGCTTCCTTTTCATGGTACAAAAGCAATTCTATGTAATTTCTTTCCTTCTTTTCTTTTTTTTTTTTTTTTCTTAAGAAAATGCAAATGCAAATTAGTTTTGATAATGGAAAGCCAAATTTTGGTTGGGGGATGGGGTGGGTAGATAAAATCACTATGGGGGGCATGTTTTTCCAAGATTTCCAAAGAGATGGAATTTTTTATCCTTTAAGTTTTCATGTTATACAGAAAGGCAGATTGGGTTGGTTGCCCTGCCCAGTCTCCTGGTTTTAAAAACTTGCCTTTGTTAAGTGAAATTATTAGGATGCAGCAGAAACTGTTACTCACTGAGTCATTAATATATTAAATGTTTCCAGGGCACCGTGTGCATTACCCTCAGTCTCTGTGGCTACTGTCCTGGGACTCCATGTACATTTCTGCTTTGAGCACTCCCCCTTTTGTGTGTGTCTGCATTCTCTTCCTCTCCGTAGGTTCATCTGGATGCAGTGGGGTAGGGAGCAGGCACCCAGGGAGGGGAGCAGGCATATGTGTACACATATCCAGGCCAAGGTGATGGGATGCATACACTTTCCTGACAAACCCTTCTTTCTGGTGATTACTACCAGCCATCTTCCAGAGAGAGTTTGGAGTCCCTCGAGGTTATTTATTTATTTATTTTTTTTGAGTACCCCATCCCAAAAGAAAGAGCTTCCTGTGTTAAAACTCATTGCTTGAGAAGGTCTCATTGCATTGGGGAATGAGCTGGGGCATTTGAGCTGGTGATTCCATGATCACAGCTCCTGAAACAAGAACCCAGGCACTTTTCCCTAGAGGAACACATAGAGTTACCGAACACCACAGGGTACATTTCCCCGGGCTCTGATCACTGCTCTGGGCAGGGCCTGGACAGAGCCAGTCAGTGCATCCTTTCTTTGCCCACAATTCTTGGGTTACAAACATCAGTTTCAGGGAATTTCAAGTCAACAACAAGTCGAATGAATGAATAAATACTTGGTTACCAGCCTAATAATGTGAATTGCTACAGAATTATTCTTATTATGTAAGACAACAAAAACTTTATGCAGATGCTTTAGCTATAAATTGATGTAAAATATTGATTTTTTTTTAAAGGAAGGGGAGAAGAGTATCTTGTTCACTTATTATGCAATCAGTAAATATTTTTTAAAAAATGTTACTATAGGAGAGCTTAGTAAGGAGAGCGCATGGATGGGCCAGTTTGGTACAGTTATAGGAGAAATCAGTCTGGTTGTTCCATCCCAGTGGAGGGTGAGAACGGAGGTAAGAGGGAATCAGAACGTACTTGGATGATTCCTTGGTGACAAGTGCAATGGGGATATGGGTAGAAATTATTTTCAGAGCCAAGGGGACTTGATGGTTATAAATAAAGTTGCTTTTAGCGATGGAATTTATAGACAGATCATGTTGTTCCGAAAGATGTGAATAGGATCCATGATAGCAAGTTGATTCAGAATTCTGTAGATATTTAGATAAGCGAGTGTTGATCATTTGATTTCTTAGACTGAGGTTTTAATTGGATTTCATTATGTCTCCCGGTAGTACACAGATCATCGGGATTAGGAAATTAGCCATTTTGGATTCTGCCTGCCACAAACAGACCTATTCTAAACAGTGCTATTAAATTTTAGACTGTTCAGATATTTTATTTTCTCCTACAACTACTTTTTATTATAATGAACAATTAAGACCATTTAAAACACGGGAGTACAAGTATTTTTTTGAATTAAATTAACTTGCAAAAACCAAATTTACAGTGGTTGGGTTGTTTCTAGACAGACTTTGGTATCAATTTAAAACCAAGATAATTTTTATATTCTTTCCAATAGAATTTCATGACAACTCCTGCAGTTTTCTTAACCTACAAAAGAAAAAAAGTGCTGCATTGATGAACAAAGAATTCTACAAAACCTACTTTTGTATCTTTATTTTGGAATTTCTTGTTCTATTATAAATATGGAAGTATCCCTATTTCAGAAGACATATTTTGTTAAAAATGAATTGTACATATTTAAATATGTATTTTTGCACAGGTCTTTTTTTCTGATATCCTGTTTTGGTACAATTGAGATCATCTAGTATTTATTTATTAATTAATAAAAGTAAATACCTTTTTATAATTTGAAGTGGTTCACTGCCAAGCCAATAGTTCTAGAACCTGCCTCCTTTACAGTTTAAGGGATGCCTCTGTTCTGTGAAAGTCTTTTTGTCCCTTTTAATGTCTCGGGAGCGGATTCGTGCTGATCAAGTGGGCATTGCTTCTCTAGTGGCCTGATTTCCCGATAGACTACACGTAACGAAGTGACACACTGCTTTTCTTTCGTTTGTGTTTTATGTGTGAGTACGAGTGCGCGTGTGTGCCTGTGCGTTTGAGTGTGCACACTCTGAGCACATGTGTGTTCATGTGTGATGTGGTTTAAAACTAACGGGAAAAACTGAAAGTGCCTGAACCTAGTTTTAAGCTTCGACAGATTCTTTCAAAAGACTTGAATGTTCAGTTCAACTTTTGGAGTTTGCTTTTTCCACCTAAATATTGTTTCTGAAATATTAGGGGAGGAGTTGAAAACCACCAATGCTGGTAATTTTTATAAGGTATTTTAAAATTAAGGCCTTTTGGTTCACAGTAATTCAACTGGTGATGGATTGCCTGGTGGCACCAAGGGTTACAAATCTTTTTTGTCAGCCAGCGACTTAACACAATATGTCCGTTTTGTTATTCACTCATGAAATACAGAGTTTAAAATAGAATATTTAAAAAATTTTATATTCCAAAAATATACAAAGTACCTCTGAGAGCATTGAAAAATGTATAATTTGAAAAAAATGTAACTTATAAAGGCAGCTGTCTTCCTGCAAGAGTTCTGTTGCCAAGGAATTCTTACTATCTCTCTGTCCGGGGTGGGGGGGCGGGCTTTAGAAAATGATTGTTAAAAGTTTCATTGTTTAGCAGAAAATCATTTTTACATTTTGTGCAAAACATTCTACATTTTCCGATCATTTAAATGAGCACTACATACTGTCAGTGTGAATGTAGGGCCTTGAAAAGCATTTTGCTGTTTCTTTGAGCTTGGTTATAAAAGCAATCTCCTGTGTTAAAATGTGTGAATAGTTTGATAATTTGTACACGTAATCAAGAGCATCTCAGCTGGACTTTGTGTTGGCTGCTGTATAGAACATGAACAAATGTCAAGGGATAGAAAATTACTTTGGATATTTAAAAGAGAAGAAATATATAGTCTATTTGTTTTGTAACAAGTTTCTGTAAATAAAATAATTTATACTATTTATAAGAAAAGGTTGTGCTTTGCTTTATGAGAAATTAGTTTGTGGAACAAACATGTTACTAAATGGGCAATAAAATTAGGACTTCTCAATAAATAAGGTTGGCTGCATGAAATATTTTACATGTTTCTGCCTCGTGATACTAAACCCCTTTCAATCTAGTCTGACTTGTCTTCATTTTTGAATCAGACATCCTTGTGAAGCACCTTTGGTTTCCTTCCCTTCTGTATAAGCTAAGTACAGGGCTTAAGATGTTTCCCTTCTTGGGCACAAGAAGATTTGGAGAAATTAATAATGGGGTAAACTGTGAACACTATTGCAGGTTTGTCAACCAAGGGAAGTTGATATATTGAGAAACACATTCTGTCTGTATTTGTTTAGGTGTAAATTCGATGGCGTGTGGTCAGTTTTCATTTTTCTCCAGAGGTAAGTTTTGTTTCTGTGGCTAGTGGGGTCCCTTCCTTGCTTTTATATACCTCTTCCCTCCTGGAAGGGCAAGTGCATGCTGGTAGTATTCAGAGCACCAGATAATCTTGGATCTCTAGAAACTGGGCCAGTTTTTCCATTTGCAAATCATTCTGAGAAATTAAAAAGTATTCTTGTTGCTTAACATAGTAAGGGAAGCATCTGATTTGTGTGTTGGAGAAAATGTCCATTTATTACTCTGATTTCAACCCCCACCACGCCACGGACTTCCCATTCCCTCCTCCTTAGATCAACCAACTCCTAAAATCAATTCTGAGAAGCTCCTTTTGCCTCAGGTGTCCTCCTTAAACATCCTGGGAAGAGGTTCGCTCAGTGTCTTTAACCCTTTTTGCTTCATTCCCTTGCAGGTAACCTGGCCATGGACAGCAGGAGACTCTCCCGATTCCAGGAAGGGGGGTTGGCTGGAAGACAGGGGTAGGGAGGTCATTGTCGGCAGAGAGAACAGTCCGGGCAAGCGCAGGTGGGAACAGTGTGGACAAGAACCATTCTGGGTGAAGCCTCTGGAAAGGAGGGGTTGGAGGGTTGCAGAAGTCGGCACTAGATTGTCAAGGACCTGAAGTGTCATGGGGCCTTCAACCTCAGGAATGTACAGTTGAACCAAATGTGATTGTCACAGCCCAGAGATTTTTGGGACCCAGTGCCAGGGTGCTGCAGGTGTCAGAAGTAAAAGCCGTTCAGATCTTTCCCTTTTTCTTGTACTTCTCTGTCTTTTGCCTCACATGTCATCCTTTACACCTTTCCCTCTTCTGTCCTCTCCCTCCCCAGCTTAATCAAAAAGCTCTTCCCTAAATCAGGCCCACGGCCCTGCCCCCTTCTCATCCCACTTTCTACTCTTTTGGTCTTTTCTGTCTGGTAAGAAACTCTTGCTCCTGTTGCTGACGGGAGTTAAACAAACTTACCTTTCACCTTGTAAGGCTGTGCGATTCTTGGCACTTCTCACCCCCTTTTCCACAACCAAAGCCCGGGGACCAGAGCTGCCACTGGCAGAGATTGTCTTTCAGGAGAAAGGGAGATGGAGCCAGAGGGAAAGGTTTTCAGGAAGAAGGGGAGATTCAAACACATAATTTAATCCTTTTTTTTTTTTTAAAGATTTTATTTATTTATTTGACAGAGAGAGATCACAAGTAGTCTGAAAGGCAGGCAGAGAGAGAGAGAGGAGGAAGCAGGCTCCCTGCTGAGCACAGAGCCGGATGCGGGGCTCGATCCCAGGACCCTGGGATCATGACCTGGGGTGAAGGCAGAGGCTTAACCCACTGAGCCACCCAGGCGCCCCCCCCTTTTTTTTTAATCCCCATCATAGAAGGGCCGTCCAGTAACTGTGGAGGACAACATGGACAGGTGAGAACCTTGGGACAAGAATAAGGTACGGTGCTGTCTTAAAAATCCAGGTCAGAGCTGAGTTTCCAAACTAAGGCAATGACCACATGGATAAATAGGGAACTGATGGCAGAGATACCTCGCAGGTAGAACCAACAGGTCCTGAAGTCTCATTATGTTGAACAGTAAGGGGAAGGTTGAATCCAAGGTTAACTAAACTGGTTGATGAGCCTTGTATGTATATTCTATGACAGAGAAGGAGAAATCCACAACGGATTTGAGTAGCCACTGGGATACTCGTGTTTAGTGCCCAGTGGCTATACGTACAGTCTGGACGATGCTTAAGAGAAAGGTGTGAGCTGTAAGGTGGAGGGTTGTCTTTCATTCTTAGGTGGTAGGTGAGGTCATAGGAGTGTATGAGTTCACCTAGGAAAAATAAGGTCGCTGTTGGATTCGGCTCATTACTATGTTCAAATGATGCCCATCTAATTGAATGCTTATAATGCCCGTTGAAGCATTTTGCAAACATCGTCTCTCACGAAGCCCCTATAGAGTAACGGGAGTTTTATAGAGTAGGTCGTTTTGATGCTAGTCAAATGGAGGAGGAACATCCAAGAAGTTACGTGTCTCACCTACAGTTCTCCAGCTACTGGTAGCGTTGCCAGACTGTGAATTCAGGTCTGTCAGATCAGTGGTTCTTAATTTTTTTCTCTTCCTTCCCCACAGATTTCAAGAAAGTAGTGTGGATTCTCTCTGCCAGAGGCACAGACATACCACATTTCATGTTCCATCTCCAGGACTTCACAGACCTGAAGTCCATCCTTCGTGGCCCAGGGAAAGAAGAAAGCCCAAGATGAGACCCTGGAGAGCCTATTTTTGGTGACGAGGTTGAAATGGTTTAGTTGGAAGTTTGGGCAGTTGACTCCATTGTAATTAACCCCACCAAGCCACTCAGGTAATGTTTTGGTTTTATTTTTTTTTTCCTCTTGCCTCTTTCTCCAGGATAATGGGAACAGCAGGTGTTCGTTCAGTGGAGAGGTTAGAACTTGGGCAGGGAGTTTGCCAGGCAGTTAAAGCATATGAGGGTATGGCTGAGTCATTGACGATGGCCGTCATTGGGGCATTCAAGGAACAGAACCAGAAGCCTCCATGTACATCTTTGAGACGCTCTCAAGACATTCTATTTGTAATTACCCTCCTGGTAAATCTTAGAATCCTCCTTCCTGGTATTTGCGATGAGACGAGTTAAGTGATTTATTCAACGTCACAGAGCTAAGTCCAAGTTCAATTCAGTATGGCTGTTACTAGAGTGGCTAACTGCGGTGGATCCAGGTAACAGAGTTAGGATGGTGGCATAGCGCTTCTAGTGACAGGTCAGGGAACAGAGGACTAGGGTAGTAGGGACTGGAGTAGAATATCAGGTTTCAGTTTGAACAACAGAGCTCTTCAGAGGTGCTTGTGATTCCTGGGTCCTGGGTGAGACGGTGGCAGAGGCTGGAAGTGGCCTCGGGGATAAAGAGCACTGACGTTCAGGCTTAGGCACTGTGAGGCAAGGCTATTACTGTGTAGGCTGCTGGTTTCAGAGTGGTTGGCGTTGAGAGGAAGACGGAGCCAGCTGCTTGATCTGGTGTGAATAGCGTGGGGCGGCTTGGAGGTCTGGGGACAGTGAGCACAGAGAACTGGTGGTCTAAGTGGGTGGTGAGCAGCTTCCAAGAGAAGGCATTTTGAATGAGGGTGGAAAGCCTCTGGCCAGGAGAGGGCGGCCGACTTGGAGACTTTGGACTTCATGTTGTCCCCAAGGCCTTGATGTATTTTTGAATGAACAGCCTCTAACCCAGAGGACTTCGGGAAATGAATGCAGCATCCTCTGAGGCCAAGTGTAGAGTTCCGTCAGTCTTGAGACTCTGGTGAACTCTAAGAGGGTTGAGGAAGTTACCAGGACGCTACCTACTGGTTGTCTTGACTAAAGAGGCCACTTGCCTGAGGCAGTCAGGATTTGCAGCAGCTGGAGGGAAGCCCACCCATCATTCAGGTGGAGATTGTCCCTTTTACTTCTCGAAGCCAGTCTGTCCAGGGAAAATTATGCCAGACCTTTGGGAGGGACAAACAGTAATCCTCCCCCTGGACCCAACTGCTACAATTTATCTTTTGTAGGCTTTCAGAAACACAGGAATAATGCACACCTGTGGCTCTCTGCCCATGAAACCCACATTAGCGCATACTCGAGTTTGTCATGTTTTTCCAGATAGGGATTTAACCTTCCGCCCCCATTGCCAACGTGGAGCTGGCAGTTTGCTACAGTTTGTCATTTGTATAGCATCAGGAAGGTGAGAGATTATCATCGTCCCCCTCTTTTCTTCCTCCTAATCGTGAAGAAACAAGATTTCAATGATCAGCCATTAATCCTCTTTAAAAGACAGGTTAAAAACAGCACCAAGGTTTAATCCAAAATTACGCAGTTTGCTCATGATCAGTAACCTGCTGATCAGTTAATACTAATGCTTAGTCAGGCTACTACAGGACTAAAGGCATCCATCATAAAATAGGTACAGAATGGGGCGGTGGGGGTGGTAATGCAGGGCAGGCAGTGGAAGGGAATAGGGCAGGCTGTGGGAACGGGACCGTGCTGGAGAACCCACGCTAGCCATTAGCTTGATGGGGAGGGTGAGCCCGGAGGCAGCCTCATCTGTCCATTTTTCCACAGAAGCTAGGTAAGTGACCTTGGAATTGTTTTCAGTTTTTAGAAGGTGACCATAAATGAATTTTTATCTAGGAAACTAACTTGGGGCATGGGGTGGGGACAGGCGTGGCAGCATTGCTTCTTGTGAGCGACCAGTAGCCAACTTCGGATCATCAGGAAGCATCGTCTGCCATCGTGGTGGGCTTTTGGTCTTTTGAGCTCTTTGATCCCCACCTGTGGGAAATGTGGGCCTGGACCTAAAATGTCTGTAGGCCTTTTATTGGGTTTAAAATACTCTACCTGTCCATAAAGCAGATCTTAGCATTCCATAATTACATAACAAATGTAAGTTTGTTAAAAACATCAGTTTGATCTTGATCAAATACAAAAAATTCAGTTTTCAGCTTATTCTATAAAAGTTGACCGAGGTGACCCAATTTACTCACCATACGTGAGTTTTCTCCTAACGCTCCATCCACATACTAAGAAATATTTTCGTATATTGTTTTAGTGTTCAGTGTTTTAGTAGTGTTTTCACATAGAGAACTGCATAAGGTCCGGTTGCTCCTCTACTTTGCAGACGAGGGGGAACAGGGTCCAAGAGAGGACATCCTTTCTCCCTCCATCACGCAGCTAGTGTGAGGAGAGCTGGGATCAGAATTTGGTTTCTCTAGCTTCAGTGTCAGTGCTATTTCTCCCGTACCATACGGCCTCATTTAGAGAGGATGTGTTGGAGTCTTAACTTTATTTTCACCTCCAAACGGATACTTTGAGGCTAACAGTGTTCCCCTGGGACATGTAATTACATGGAATAACTTGTTAACATGTAAGATGCTCCAGTTTTGTATTAAAAACTGCATTTCAATAGGATTTATGTGGAGATTGCATCTCCACATAAATGTAGAGAGCATGAAAATGTTGACAGTAGCTGTCCCTGCTGGGTGGGAATACAAGGCCATCCACGTTAGTATCTTGAATGTCTTTTGCAGTGAGCATACATTCTTTTTCAGAAAAAAAAAAAAAAAAAAAGAAAAAATTTACTCCCTCACCTCAAAACTGTATTGTCCCATTTTTAGTTACTCTACTGGACCTTTAACAGCTTCTGGAGTTTTCAATTTCCCGATCTTGAACTCAGAAGGGATAGCATCTGTTTCTTTTAGCTTCCCTTACCTGTCATCCTCGCCTACTAATTTTAGGCAGTTGGGCATAAATAGTGAAAGAAAAATACAAATACATTTTAAGCAAGCAGAGTTTAAAAAAAAAAAAGTTTTGAGAATCCCCATTCTAGACCAGGAGTTAGTGTAAACCTTGAATGAAAGGCCAGGATTGCTCTGTGATCTCATTTGTCCCAGTGGTCTTAAGAGGTGGGAGCCCAGGGAAGGGGCTGTTTGCATCCGTTTTTTTCCTTTAGCATGAACTGCAATGAGTCAGTTTGCTAAGAACAGAATTCTGATTTTTACACGGAGACCAGGAACACGGTGAGTTCTCAATGACTACACGTTGGATTTCTCAAATGGCCCTGATTTTCGGGATCATGGGTTTAGAGTACTTCTGTTCACATTTTCTTCAAGAAATTATAGTGATCATTGTTAAGGTTTTATAAATAAGCGTTTTCGGAAATCTGTAAGTGGATATTCTCAAATGCTGAAGGCATATCCAGCATTTTACTAGCCTGCCATTCACCATACAGCGCCCACGGTGCCTCCCGCAGCACCACGGATGCTCGTTACAGTAATTCTTCTAAGACAGCCATGAACTATGCCATTGGCAATCGTGCTTATTTCCGAACCTTCATTATTTCTAGTTTATTTACGTTTTTATCATGAGTGAATGTTGAATTGAATCACATTATTTTCCACTGAGAGGTTTTCTTTTCTGATGTTAATGAATCATTCCAATTGGCTCATAACTAGAACAGCATGTAAACTATAAAAGCAGACTTCTCTTGCCTTCCTTTTACAGTACAATGCCATTTCCCATTCTCCTTTTAACTCAGCTCTACCAGAATGGCCTTGTCAGAATGGCATTCAAAAAGTTTGGGGTTGTCCCAGACTTCCTCACCAGGTTCCCCCCCCCCACCCCCATTCTTACCTTTCAGCAAAGCAGGCCCCACCCCCACTGTCAGGCATTCCCTCCAGCTGGTGCCACTTAGGTCAAACAGGGCCATTCCTCAGCTTAAAACCTCCAGTAACAAAGTTTCTTCTCCCAGATATTTGCATGTCCCTCTTCTACTTAAATGTCACCTTAGCAGAGGCTGTGCCACCCTATAGGAGAGCTTTCCATGCCCTACTTCACTGTCTCCTTTATCCAGTTTCAGATTTTTTTTTTCTAGCACTTAGCCCCACCTGACTCACGGAGTGTATATTAAGAAAAAAACAAGGAACAATTTTGTTTTCCTTACTATGGTTCTGTTTGTTTGGGGGGGGGGAAATCCCATTATTATTGACATAGGTATTTTTGTTGTTTTTTAATCAGTGTTTGGTGAGATTGGCAGATTCTGGAATCCATGGTTATGGTTGCCTCCTCAAAAGCTTCCCTTTTTTCTGAGGGAAAGCTTAAGATACATTTCATTTATCTTCTGTCTTTTGTGTACTAAGTGGGAGACACTGTGTTTAAACACATACTATATAGCACATATTTTCTAAAACTCAGGAGACTTACAGTAAGACATGAAGGGTTTGTATTATCCCTAGTGTACTACTCAGATTTGAATTCAGGCGCTGTAGTCTTGGATTACAGTCTCAGAAAAGTAAACTGAAAGAAACAAAAATGCAATATTTATTTTATACAGCTGAACCGGGTACATAGTAAAGTAAGCTATAAAAATTCCACAGTTATCTCTAAAGGAAATCCTTCGTTTACATGGTTTTACATATTAATTACTCTGGAAAGTTTCTGAACTCTGTTTAGTAGCAGATCTCCTTTCTTGATAGTTTCTTGGTACTGCCAGTTCTTGCTATCAGGCCTATAAATAAATTCAAGAAAAAAATGAATTATTTACCAGTCACATTACTCCATAACACGAGTTGACCTACTTTTAAAAGACACTTAAGAATGCCCCTTATTCTACCACACAAATGACACACAAACTTAGCAGTACCTGTTGGTCTCCACTATTTCGTTGACTTTATCTATTTTGCAGTGTAGTCTCCCTGCAGCAATAAATCTGGAGAGCTCCCTACAATGAAGAGCAGGGAGAAAGGGGCATTAGTATGAGTGTTAAACAAAATTCTTAAATTGCACTAACTACACACTTCCACTGTCGCCCACGGGAACCTTCTGATGGCTTCCAGCCTGCACTCTTGACGGTGCAGCAGCTGAGAAGACTCGTGAGCAAACTGCGCAGGATCATCCCAGAATGGTAAGTTCATACTGAGGGCAAGTGTCAAAGAATGAAATCCTTAAAGCTTCGCAGAAAAATAATACGGAAATAATGAAACAAGAGCAGATGATGCTTAGGATTTTCAAAATTAAGATGAAAGACTATGCCACAATAAATAAGCATCAGGAATGCACAGCTGATATTAATCTTTGTGAAAAAGTTTTTCTGAATATCTATGTACAGTCACAACCCAAACCTCAAAATTAAGATAGCTATAACATGCTTACACATAAACCTCAACAGCACCATTACCAATGAAACACTATCAAAGATCAACAAGGAGAAAAAGGGCTTAAAAATATACAAGGGCTATATGAAGACTTTACATTACATGGAAAGATGAGTGCTTTAAAATAAAAATCTACTTATAATAGAACTGTTAAGTTTAAATGAAAATTATACTCTCCCAGATACTAAAACATTTTGCTCCTAGCACATAAACAACAAAAGAGAGACTCTAAATCCTAAACAATTTTCTAACAAAGATGGCGTTTGAAATCCATGCGAAAGGGCTGGTTTGAATGGTGATGAGGCAGCCTCCCCGTGACAAACCCCAGAAAAAAGCCTGCTAAACCTGGTGATATAGACACTGTCCACATAGGATAATACCACCAGAACCAAGTCACGAACTAAATGACAATGTGGACAGAAGATGTCTGCAGTATAAACTGGGGGGGGAGCAACAAATCAGACAAATGGCTCATTAAAACACAGGCAAAGTATATATACAAAAAAGATCAATTTCACTCATTAAAAATGCAAATTAAAGCTGTAATGAAATGCCATCATTCTGGGGAGAACAAAGCATAATGCAATGTTGAGGAAGGTCAGAAACAAACACAACGTCTCACACTTACTGGAGACAAAGTGATAGAATTAGATGAGAAAGTGTGTTATTTGGATTTGTGCTTTTAAAGTGTCAAGTCTCTTACCTAATTGCCCCAGTAGGCAGTGGTGAAAAACCCACTATGCCTTCTGTACTAAGTTGTATCAAAAAGAAAAAAACCCTATGAAAAGGAACCAATTAATACTTAATCTTGGTAGGAAGAATGAGAAAGCATTAGTGTTTTTAATAAGGAAGTGTGTAATTTTGGAAAATCTGGTTGTGAGCTTCAAAAAGCTGGAAAGACAAAAAAGTTATTAGGCTGGAGGTCGTCCTAAACTAGCAGGCATGGCTGACACAGTCACGGAGCAGGCTTTATTTCTATAGTCTCCATCTAGACACCTGGATCCAAGTGCTACAGTGCCCAGTCTTTTTCGGCTGTTTTTGAGTTCTGTTACTGAATGGCTTTCTAAACTTGTGTTCATTTTCCAGACAGTTAACTTCCTCCCCCACCCCCTGCACCAACCCCAAGACAGGGGGAACCTCTGACAGTGGTTCTGACTTACAGAGAAGCTCCAAGGCCAACTCTGAAGAATGCCCTCTGCCGCGGTGAGGACAGACTGCTCCATGCTAGGAGCCTGACAGCTGGCACACCTGAGCTCCCCGCGTCGCCCCGCGTCGCCAGACTGGAGGCCTTCCCGTCACCGCTGCCCGGACCACTCAGCGAGACCCCAGCTGCTCGCTAACTCCTGAGCCGGGCAGTGAACGCAGTGCTGCTCTCAGTTCCTGTACACACCGCCACACGCTCTAGCCAGTACACTTAAGCTACTGGTTTCAAAGAAACGCTCCTACAGGTATTTGTGCTATTGCTTCCACTGGGAAAGCACTTTTTTCCTTCAAAAATCTTACAAATGCAGCGACACCCAGTCCAAAGGTCCAGCAGAAGGCATCAGTGGATGTGTCCGATTCTCGGGCACTTCAGTCAAATACAAGGACCCCGAGGCATGCTCATCAAGAAGAATCTGGCCACAGCTTCCTTCCTGGTTACCACACCATGATTTAACTCCTAACAATTATGCCTATGTTTCCATTCAAGTCCCATCCCTGGCTCTAGAGCCAGACCAGTTGTCATCTCCTCATGTGCCAGTCACCTCCCAGGATGACTCCTCTTCCCCAGCCGTGGGTATTTCTCAAGTCCTGAGCGTGGCGGCTCACTAGGGAAGGTACGCAGTCATGATGACCCAAGTGCTTACTGAACAAACACCCACCAATCAGATTTGCATCCCATGTTCCAAAAAGAAGACCTACCAACAAAACTGTACACAGTGCATGGATTTCTAGCCTTAAACCTGTCAACAGCAGCGTTTCCTCAAATAATGGCCCCTTTCTATTCTCCCCACAGTATCTTATTGAGTCTAAGGAAGTAGAGAAGTGGAGGGAGGGTGCAGAATCATGTTCAACTTAACAAATCAGACCCTCCTTACAAAAGGATTTCACCGAAAATGGTTTTTATAAGGAAGGACAAAAAGAATCTAGGGAAACCCAGATGTGAATTGGGTATCAGAAATTTAAAACAAGATCTTTAGTAGGTAACCCCTAGAGCTGTGTGTGTACATACAACTTTTTTTGCCTTTAGAGTTGGTCTGTAAACATGAAGGGAACAAACTGAAATACCCACCTGAAATGTGAATAGAGAATTTACATTCAAATAGAGAATAAGGGGATTTCTGGGACTGCTCCACAGTTTAGGTTATACTTAAAATCTGTATCTCTCATCAAATGTAAATATGTAAAACCTCAAAACAAGCCTATAAATAAATATTGAGATGCATGCTAAAGTATTTAGGGATGAAACGTACTGGTGTCTGAAACTAACTTTGAAGTGCTTAAAAAATAGGATGGGCAGATATGTGATAAAACAGCCATGTTAATTACAGAATCAATCATGAAAATAACTAATTCCTTAGAATTTCCTACATTTTTAAAATTTTTCATAATAAATTAGAAAAATCAAACCCCTAAAATGAGATTTTTTTTTTTTAAATGAAATACACCATCACTGAAATTTATATGACCATCTTTTTCACACGGGCCACTGAAATCTACCATTAGTACTTGACAAGATCTATCTTTGGGAACCACTGATCCAGATACAGTAAGGACAGCACATACTCTAAATGTGTACGTCTCCCACACTCCATTCCCACCACCCTAGTCCAGACCACCGTAATAGCTGCTCCATGAGCTACTGTACTCAACAGCCCACCCAGTCTCCCTATCCCCCTGTGGCCTGTGTAAGACAGGGTTTCACTATCACTTTCATGCTTAAAATCCTCCAGTGGCTTCCCACAGGACCTAGATTAAAACCCAAGCTCCATACCACAGCCAGCCAGGCCCTGCACAGATGTACGCATGCCTGAGTCGCCCACAGCTGCCCCTCTCTCGCTACTACCACTCCGCTGCAGCCACACACATCT